TACTTTTCCTCTCTATCATATTTTTAATTAACTTTTTCCATATTTCATCCTTTAAATTTAACATCTATTCCTTAATTCTTACATTTTCATTAACGTTTTAAACTTCCTGTCATTTTTTTATTTTTCAATTTCATTATTTTTCATTTCAATTTCCTCCATAATTTTTATTCTATCTCTTTCTATAACTCTTTTTATTTTTTTCCGATGTAACATAATACCAATTATCCATAAACATATCACTACTACCGCTATGATACAATTATTTCTCTGTGGAACCATTTCCACATACTTTTGAGTTTTTATACTTCTTTTATAATTAAACATTTATTCTTTATTCACAAATTTATAAAAAATTTATTAAAATTTTTATTATAAATATTTTAACATTACTAAAGGTTAGACAATATATTAAACCTAATATAATTAATAATATCAAAATTATATAAATGCACATCATTTTATATATTCCAAAAAATTTTTACCTTTTTTTTTTAAGAATTTTTTTTTTACCGTGATTGTATATTTTATTAGTACACTGCGTCCACTCTTACCCAGATATCTTGTCCGTTGCTTGAATAAAAATTAAACGGCACCACTTTTGTAGACTTCTTATAACTTATTAGATGAAAATTTTATTTATATAATTCTTATAAAAAAATCCTCTTTTTTACACGAAAAAAATTAACTAATAAATATATAATAACATTTCTTTTTAATTAACAATCTTCGAAGCTTAAAAAACATTATTAAAATATCTTTGACCTTATTTCTTTTTCATATAAAAATATAATATATCGTTAACATCATTTAAAAATACTACAACAATAAGCACTCGTAATCTTTAACAGAATTAATAAATGCAATTTTATCTATTTTTAAAAAAACATTATAATAATTTTAACTTGATCCATTGGGTTTATATCTTCAAAAAATGAAACCATGGATTTAGAATTCATTTCAAATAATTTAAAATTAGTGCTAAATCTAAAATTTTGAGCTAAATTCACCTAAATCTGTATTTAACGAAACAATATTTCGAAATCACGCGATAAATACAAAATGATGTGTTTTTTAAAAATCGTAGCTATATGCTTTCGCGATTCAAATCGCGTGATCGGTAATGAATGCTATATGATATTTATTGTATTCTGTATTTATCGCGGCTAAATCGCAATCGTGCCACTTGAATTCAGGATTATGTGAAATATAAGGCATGACGCATAATCTTTTTCTGCTTTTAATAATTTTCAATTTGCGAAAAGGTGAGTGGGTTGGATAATAAGTAACTATCCAGCTTTTTAAATATTATCAAAAGGCTTCTTCTGATAATACTGGAAATATATATTTGGTTATGATTTAATTTATAAATATATATAGAATCATTTTTATTATGTGAATAAGGCTATCAGAAAAAACCTTCAATGAATTGTACCGTATTTTACTGTTTAGCTGAAATCCTCGTTTATTTTGTTTTACCATAGCAAAATAAATTAGGGCTCATTATTTGTATACATGTTTCTTATAGTCATACCTATAAAATAAAATTTATCAGAAGTTTATAGCTTAATTAGAAGTCATGCAATAACTATTTGTATGATATATATCACCTTAGGGTAAATTTATAGATAAAACGGTTAAAATATTCCGTCTAATTAATACATAAAATGTGCTATTTTTGATGAAATGTTTTACATTTCCAAATTATATTTATTAATTTATTCTCAAATAATGAATGTATATCATAATTGCTCTATTTTATTCAATAAAACAATATTGTTATGTTCAATATTATTTTAACCACTTTACCCTGACGCTTAACCATTTTACCCAGGGTATGGGGTTAAATATTGAAAATGGACACACTTCACATAATTAATCATAGTTCATCAAGTATCAAATGTAGAGCGCTATACTTTTTTATAGGTGAGGGATTTGGCTACATATAAATCTATTTGCTTTGTTCTATTTTGGTTTCCAAATGTTATTATAAAAATACAAATCAATTCGTTTTACCCGGTCTCCCATATTTATTTGAGTGTGATTATGTAAATATAGAGGCTACATCAAACATTTATATCCTATAATCAAAGCAAAATTTATTATTCATTAACAAATATAAATCTAACCCAGTACCTTGGCTACCCAATTCATCATACTTATATACTCTAAAATTATATTTATATATATTATTATATATTAATCGAAGCCTAGGTTTACAGGCCTGTGATGGGAAAAATGCGGAAAAAAACTTAAGAATACTTGCTTCCATTTCCCCGCTTATACCAAATTTCTTTTCTCTTGCTACCAATCACCAACAATCTTACAATTCAACAAAGAAAAGATACTTTCTGTCGAGGGTATCCAACAAGGTGACCCTCTCGGATCCCTTCTCTTTAGTCTTGGAATCAATGACATGATAAAATCAATAAACTCTTCATGTACTCTATCGCTCCACGCTTGGTATATTGATGATGGAATCTTGAGTGGTCCCAGTAGTGAAATTGCCAAAGCAGTCACCATAATTAAAGAAATGGGCACAGCCATTGGACTTTCGCTTAACCAGAGCTGGACTTTCGCTTAACCAGAGCAAATCTGAATTCTTACTTTTAAATTCTAATGCTCCCAACACTCACGATTTCAAATTCACATCAAGCGTTGAATTAACACATCTAGGATCGCCTGTTGGAGGACACGAGGCAATAAGCACCTTTCTTCATTCCACACTTGACATACTCCTTAAACTGGAGGACATCTTTACACTTCTTCCATCACACAAGTCCTTTTTTTTGCTAAAAAATTTCTTTTTTATACCAAGGATGACTGGGATGCACCAGTGGTTGCTCGCTGCGTTGAAACTCTCTTATCTAGCATGCAATCTACCGACCGCACCCTATTCTCTTCCTTGCTCAATGGTACGGGACATGAGTTTCTTGAAACCATCCCATCTACCAATCTTCAGCTTCAACTATCCAACAATGAATTTACCCATGCCATCGGCATTCGTCTAAATTGTTCCATCACTCACCCCCACATCTGCTCAGGGTGCAACTCGCCAGTTGACTCGAAGGGTAGACATAGTTTACATTGTCGCTCCTGCAATGGACGATTCATCAGACACAAGCAATGTAATACAATCATCCAACATGCTCTGAAATCCGCCCAAATTCCTTCCACGTTAGAACCACAGGGTCTTTTTAGATCTGACGGTAAACGTCCTGATGGGATCTCTCAAATCCCATGGAGGAGAGGCCAACTTTTGGTATGGGACTATTCCTGTATTGACCCCTTGGCCCCATCCAACCACGCCATCAACATCCTTGACCAGAAGGAACAACTTAAAATTTCTAAATACACAGAAATAATAAACGATCATTGCTTCATCCCAATCATATCAACCACTCTTGGCACCTTCGGCAAACTCGCCTTAGAATTTTTCAAAAACTTAGGATCACAAATCAGCAAACTCTCAGAAGAACCACGAGAGGGTTTTTTTCTTCGTCAACGATTATCCATAGCGATTCACAAAGCTAATTATATCAGTTTCAATGGTAGCCTTCTAGCCAAAGAGCTATCATAGACAACGCTTACGTCCCTTTTTCATTTTTGTTTCCCTGCGTCACACCATCTCCGTTCTTTTTTTTAATAGTATTATTATATATTTTTCAAACATTTTTAAATATATTAAAATTTATTATAATGAAAATTTAAATTATTATACCTTATATTGATAATAAACTATATAATAAACATTTAATTTTTTAAAAAATAAAAAACTGCGGGAAAACGACATATTTTTAAGATAAAATAAACGACTAAGGCCGCATTTATAGTAAACGCGTTTTGTTCAAGCGTTGCATTATTTAGCGCAGCGTTATTACATAATAAATTTATAAATATGAAACGTTACAATGATAAAATTTGAAAAACATATGCGATGCGTGGATAAAAAATATACGATACGAGATACGATTATAAAAGTAATAGCGAATTCAATTAAAAGATATATAATTTTTCTTAAATATTATATAAAATAATTATCTCTATTTTAGTTTTATCTTAAATTAGTTTTTAAACTGAATCAGCCGTAATAACGCAACGCTTGAAGATAACGCTTTTACTATAAATGCAGCTATAAGGGTAATATTTGTGGTCAAGGGTTTGTCTATTTTTAATTTGGTTGGCCAATACGATTTAGGGATTAAAGAATTTATCGCTTATGAAGAACCCAACAAGTCGACTCCAATCCTGTATCGAATCGAGTAAGACTTGGCATGGGCTTAAATATTTGGTTACATGTCAATACGACGAATAACATTATCGCGAAAAGATATTTACGTGAATGCATTACTGCTAATGTACTCACAAATATTAACACGAATATATTATCTTGAAAGCCGAATACATTATCGTAAAAATATTATATCGACTGCATTAGCGCAAATGAATTGCGCTATTGAAAGTCAATTTAGCGAAATTGCATTTTATTTATCAGCCTTTAGACACGCCAAGTAGAGCCCTGAAGTCGGGCTCGGGTCTAAAACAATTTTTTATTAAAATGAGCTTGGACGTTTCATGTTTTTTTTTGCTCAGGATAATAAAATTAATGTTTTCTCATATAATAGGACATGGTTAAATTTTTACTTAACTGTATAAAAATGCGTTTAATTATATTTTCCAATTAAAAATTTCGGGCAGTCAAGCTCAGACCTAAAATTCGATCGGACTCAGGCCTAAAAATAAATATAATTGTTGAGTTGCGTTCGGGGTGAATAAATTAAATTTTCAAGCGGATAAGACCAAACAAGGCCATATCCAGACAGAACGTTTTCTCGAAGCGGTTTTCTGGTATAGCTGGCCTCAGATCTAAAATTAAATTTGTATCAGCATGAAAATTGTAAATTTTTTATTTTCAAGACGAATCTGGATTCAAACCGTTATGTATGAAATTTTTCTTATATTTTAAAAATAACTAATGAAACCTTCTTTTTTCATCTTTTAAGGATGAACACCAAGAATTAAATGAGACCTTTCTCTTGAATGGCAATGCCACTAAAAAATATTTGTGTATTCCACCCAATCAATGTAACGATGGCAGTTTAGCCAATGCTACCTTCAACATGGATTCCGTCGCATCCAATTACTATAACGAAAGGAATCCTGATGGTATCGACGACATCTTGGATCAAGATGCAATTCTTAAGGGTAAAGAGAAACGCGAAGATAATAACGTTAACAGCACCATCAATAATAAGTTTATCAGGACCAAACGCATATTCCAGACAGCCTTCGAAACACAGAATTTTTTTTCCCCTCACGTTTCAAAAAAATCATGAAAAAGAGCCTCTCAGCTGTAACATTTATTTTCATTTGTCAAAAAAGCTTTTATTACTAATAAAAATATAGGTATCCTAAGAATTAAACATTTGTTTAAAAATTAAATTGTCATAACAAGTTTCTTCTTTCGAATTATTTTTACAATCATTTTATTATTGTTAAATTGACATAATTTAAATATTCTTCACTATTTCATTCATCCTAAAACTACTGTTAAATTTCGCATTTTCTTCTCAACAATATTGTTAATAAATTATTTATTTTGTTAATTTTTTTTTACATTAATAAAATCAGTCAACTTTTTGAAAAAGAATATTAATTAACGACTAACCAAGCTCTTAAAAAAATTTAGATTTGTTCAGGTTCAGCTAAAATTAAAAACTAAGGTCCGGTCCATGGAGCTAGAGAATCTAATAAGTTGAAGCAACGCTTAAATATTAATTAAACCAGTGTTGTTCTATCGCTACCGCTATTTTGCATTAAAAGTAGCGCGTTATCTCTAAGCTATAGGATATTTTTTACTTATCTCCATTTCCACATATAAAAAATATGACTATAATTTCAAATATATAATTTTTTATTGCATTTCAATAATTATAAAATTTCTATAATGTCAACCCCAAGGCTGGAGCGACGATCAGAAAGTACTAAATTATCGTTTAAGCACTTGGGGCAATGCATTAAATTTAATATACATATTTTTTATAATAAAAATGCGTCTAGAGAATTTTCAATAGTATTATTTATTTCAATCTATGATAGGTGGCGTTTTTATCTGACTAGAGTATCCTGGTTTTATATATTTTTATTTAATGTTGCTCCTAACAAGTTGCCCTTTGGATTCAGTCAAATTAATATATTGCCAATTTAACTTGAAACTAGGGTGGACAAAGCGGCTATGTTTATCCAGAATATAATAATTTATAAAATATTATCATTAAATAGATGAGTCTGATGATAAAATGAGATTGATTTTAATTTATAATATAATTCTTAAGTAATATCTTATGTACACTTGAAATATAACATGTTTGGACAGGACCAGAAAATAATCCAATCGACAGAAGGATTGGGACAGGCCAGTTGTAGCATGCTGCGTTTAATTTCTATTTTAGCATGCTCCCAACATACAGGTCTCTCGTCACTTTACTTAATGGATCCGGGTATTAATTTTTTGAAGTCATTCCTTCCAAAAATCTTTAACTCCAGCTAACCAACAATGAGCTAACCCACGCAAGAGAAATCTACCTAAATTGCACAATAATCTTTCCTCACTTCTGGTTTGGCTGCAGAATCACAATAGACTGAAAAGGAAGACACAGCTTACGTTGCAGATCGTGCAAAAGACGAATCCTCAGGCACACCCAATGCAATTTGTTGATCTAGCAAATATGGAAATCCGCCCGAATACCCGCTTTACTTGAAACTCCAGAACCTTTTAGATTCGATGGGTAGTGTCTGACGGAATCACCCTGATCTTTTAGAAACGAAGCCAATTTCTGGTTTGAGACTATTCTTGTATAGATCCATTAGCCTTATCCAACCAAACTCTAAATCTACTTTATCAAAAAGAACAGCATAAAATTTCCAAATGTTCAAAAATATCTGAAGATTACATCTTTATGACAATAATATCCACTACCTTAACCTCCTTTGATAAGCTTGCATAATCATTCTTCAAGAATTTAGGATCTTATATCCGCGAGCATACTGGGGATCCGCGAGAAGGCTTCTTCCTAAGACAGAGACTGGCTATGGCTATCCTTAAAGTCAATTATGAAAACTTCATTGGCAGTCTTCTCTCCACAAACCCTCGCTAGATTCACTTTTTCTTCATTGTTCTTATCATTTTACACTATATTTCACCTTTATATTATATAATTTGGAATTTATTTTTCGCATATATTTTGTGTTGACTTATATTAACTTTCATTAAACTTGTAAAATCATAAAAAAACGAAAAAAAAATAAGTAAATATAAAAAAATTTATAAACCCTGAACCCTACATTTAAAAAAAGGTTTGGAGCTCTGGTTCAGTAAAATTTCAGAATTCGGGTTCACCGCTCTGGTTTTTTAATGGGGTAATTTTATTTTAAAAATATATAGGTTTTTATTTTTTTATGTATAAAACATATTTTTGACGGCTTGACTAAACTGCAAACGCTTAATTTTATTTGTTATAAGTGTAAATAATAAATGGTGTATAAGATGCCTTATAAAAAATCTTAAGAATATAATCATTTTTTTAAAATTTTATTTTTTGTAAAAGTGAAAATTTTGTTCAACAAACCCCAATAGCTGGGTGAGGCAAACCACTTCAAGGGGCTTCCTAAATCATAGGTTTTTTTAGGCCAAAATAAATTGAAATGCATTTTTATTTATTAATAATGATATGTATCAGTGGCGTAGCCAGGATTTATCCATAGGGGGGGGGGTTAAAAAATTTTTGGGGGGGACGAAGCCCCCAACTCTGTGCTCTATTAGTGTCTAATCACTATAGTAACAAGCATGAATAAAAAAATATTAGTAACAATTTTGGCTAAATTTATTATTAATAAGCGACTGAACACTGAAAACATTATTCTAAAAATTTAATCTATGTTTAGTCAATTTAAATTAATCCATATAGTTTAGAAAGAAAAAAATTTGCTCCCCGAACCTTACATTTTTTAAGATCACTCAATATACCTGATTGAGTGTTAAAAATAATTCTTTTTTAAATTTTAGATATAGATTTTATTTATTATTAAAATACTTTAGTATAAATAAAATCTCTTTATTTAACTATGCATTTATTTTAATGATAATATACAATAAAATAAATTTCAAAATGTAGAAATTTTTATGTAGATTATTATATTAAAAATTTATTGTAAATAACTATTAAAAAATATATAATTCAATAAAATATAAGTAATTCTTGTATGGTATTTTAAAAAATATAATTTAACAATTATAATTAATACAAAATAATCTATAAATATTTCTTATTGCAAAAGCAATACTTTTATTAAAAATACATAAATATTATGACTAACAATTCATTATAATTAAGTTTTGCATATAAAAATTTTATGACTAAGAAAATATGATAATCATATATTTGAATTTATAAAGAGAGGTCTACTTTTCTCTGAGATTTGGCTAATTCATCTAGAATCAAATTTTTATCTAGAATAATCTCCTTATAAATATTTAAAAGGGCTAATCCATTTAAACGGTTTTCACCGGTGCTATTTCTTAAATAGGTTTTTAACCTTTTCAAAGTTGAAAAAGACCTTTCATTGGTGCAGGTACTAATCGGTAAAGTAGCTAAAATAAAAAGTAATGTTTTGATATTTGGCAGGGAATCTAAAGTGCAATTACACATGGAAAGAGCCTGCAAAGCATTTTTAGGTCTCAAAGAGTACTCTATTCTGTCGAGATTTTTATACCAAAATTCGACATCACAAAGTAACTTATCATACGATCCTGATAAATCATCAGAATAAAACTCTGAGATTTTCTTAATATCCTCTCTCGTTTCATGTGTAATCAACAATTCAGACTCAACCGGCAGAAGAAAATAAAAACTTTTTAAAATAAAATTATGACTAATAAATCTTTCTTTTAATTGAAATAAAAATGTGTCAATAAGGCGAATAAAAATATTTATTTTATAAAAATCCTCAATCGAAGAGGCATCAATATTTAAGCGATTTGACTGTCTAGAAACTACTCTAGGTTTAAAAATTTCAACCCTAAACAAATTAGCGATCTCCTTTACTTTCTTGTAAATATTAAATTTTTCATCCACATTTTCTCTGATATTTGTTAATATTTCAACAATATCCTTTGCCCTATTCATAACCTCTCTTAAATCCAAATTAATTTTTTGAAGTATTTTGCTAAAATCATAAGTATAATTAAATAAAAAATATTAAATTTTTCATCCACATTTTCTCTGATATTTGTTAATATTTCAACAATATCCTTTGCCCTATTCATAACCTCTCTTAAATCCAAATTAATTTTTTGAAGTATTTTGCTAAAATCATAAGTATAATTAAATAAAAAATATACACATTGAATTGATATTAAAAATTGTGGCTTCGTAATCGCCTGTAAAAAATTTTCAGCATCTGAGGAATTCTTTTCTTTGCTGGATACGTAGGATTCGAGTGCTGCAAAAATAACTTCATATAATTCTATGAAGAGTCTCACTGATTGTTGTTTTTCTATAAACCTAGTTGGGCAAAATCGTTTTAGTTTTTTTTTTTGGATTATTTGAATCAATATCATCAAATGTTCGGTAAATAACTCTCTTTTTGGGTGGTGTGAAAAAGTCACAAACCGACGATATTGTTTCTAAATTTTAAAAAATATATTAAATTATAAAAAGATATCTACAATACATAATAAATTCCAATTAAATTAAAAAATTTTTTACGTAAACTGTTCCGGATGTCTCGAATTTCACATGCCTCGGATATCATAAAGCGGTGCTATAAAGCTCTCTAATTCTTGACTGCACTCCCTTAACATGACCACTCATTGAGGGAGCTCCATCATATCCCTGGCCTATCATTAGATTTAAATCTAGATCTTGAAGGGATGCTAAAATTTCTTTGGCTATCGTCTCTGATTTAGTGTCATGTAAATCAATAAATTGAACAAAGAGTTCCTTCATTTTATAATGACCTGATTCCATATCAATAAACCTTATTGCTATGGATAATTGCTCTATGTTACCAACATCCGATGTCTCATACGCTAGAACACTAAAAAATGGTGATGCTTTCACTTTTGTAGAAATTTATTTCAATATAAACTTATTGCATATGGATATAATTTCATTTTGAATGCCTGGACTAAGGTAGGTGGCATTTTTAGCCGAGCTTTCAAAAAGCTTTATATAATTTTCATTATTGTTGCATAAAAGTTTCAGCAATTCCTTAAAATTCCCTTCATTATGAGAAGATGAAAGTGTTAAGGTGCCAGCTGATACTCTATGAGATCTTAATGCTAAGCCCTGCCTCCCTAGCCAAATGATTGCATCAATTATTATAATTATTCTGG